ATATATATATATCTGTTAAATACATAAATGGTTCACACGAATTCACTCCCACCTGCTTGAGACTTAACTCTTTTACACACGAAGGGAAGGTTTTACACGCCCCCACACTCCCATAGACTTTCACACGTCTCCAGCTGGAGAACTGAGGAGCAATCGTATTTAATGCCTTGTTTGATGCGGAGGGGCCACGGAAATAGACGATGAAACAAAAGTCCCCCCCCCCAAAAAAAAAAGTTTTAAAAAGCAAGCGGCATCACACCACTCACTCATTAGGAAGATTAGAATAAAACTTGCAGAGGAGGAAATTTGTCTATTGTTGCATCAGTCAAACGTGGCCGTCTTCACAGTGTGTTCAGACGTGTGTGAGTGCGTGTGCGCAAGAGATAATAACCATATTTAACATCTTATGACATTTCAATTTCATACATGTTGTCAGAGCAATGCAATGAAGGGAAAAAAAGACACTGCTGCATTTTTCACAGGTTCTGCTTTGCTCTCTCGCTCCCTCGCATATTTTCATGTCTCCCACATTCTTCTCGCCTCTCTCCCTCTGTCTCCTCTCTCCGTCCGTCTGCTTGTCTTTCGCACTCACCAGCTGCTGTGTCCATACTGTGCAGTGTGTGCTATTTCTGAATGAAGCCGTCTCCTCGTGCAGCCGGCCCGCGAGCCTTCCTGAAGCCAGACCACAGCTAGTTGACTGTGGCTATACGCTAGCCACGCTCATACGCAGAGAAACCCGAACGCTGGCACCTGAAAGAGAGAGAGAAGCAGAAAGAGATTAGACAGAAAAACATAACAGTGGCACAGTGGAGATTATTATAGCTACAGATGTTGTTTGGCACTGAGACAAAGACCACATTCAGTTTGGATTCAACTGTTTCTCTTTTTTCCCCCTTTGAAGATGTGCTTTTAGGTTATTATTAAATATCCCCCTGCCCACATTACAAGAACTTACAACAGGGAGTTGGAAATCCTAGTCTTTCTCAATCCTGCAACATTTAATTATTACCCCAGGATCAGCTGTCATTGCCTTCCTTATTTTTTATTTCATTGTCTGATCACATGCAGGCCGAATGATGTTAATAGAAACCAGTGGCCAGCAGCCAAAAAGGAGTGGGAATGAAGCACTGCCACAAGCCAATGACTAAAATAAACAATCTCCTCTGCAAATCATGATTGTTCGAGTCCCCTTCAATATAAATCAAGTGGATTTTTTTTGAGTGTAGCTATCTAAAAGAGGAGCGCTTGTTGATTAAAACCACCTCTCTTTTTTCCTCCCTTTTACCCCCACTTTTTTTTCTTTTTTTTTTTTCTTTTTTTTTTTTTCCGTCAGGACTGTCCTCGCCTGGTTCACTTAAGAAGCCGGGGAAGTTTGATTTCAACACCCTGACTTCTCAGACGAGGTCCCCCCGCATGGCGTTCACACACCACCCGCTGCCTGTGCTGGCGGGAGTGAGACCAGGTGAGAGCGCTGCCATAAAACCAATCAACCCCCCCTCCCCCCCCTCACCTCCGGTAATCTGAAAAAGAGAGAGAAGGAAAGGGAGTGGTCAACGTGATGCTGGACTGCTACATTTACACACCCAAACTCTTCTGGATAAATGAATTCTTCAGTCGTGTGCCTGAAAATGCAAAACCTAAACCAAGTTGCTGAGAAAGCAAAAAATAAAAAATAAAAAAATACTTTCCAGTCCTAGAGTTGCAACTGCTGAGAAGCAATATGCCTGCAGAGTTTCACCTGTTCAGTGTTACTGCTGTCATCATGGCTTGGCATAAATTCCCCTTCTCTCTCTCTCTTTCAGCCTCTCTCCATCCATCCATTATTACCACCATCTTTGTGCCTGTGTTTTTAATACTGTCATTGCATGATATCAGTGCTGCATCCATGCCTTAGTGCCTGATTTGCTGCACATCTTACAGCTTTGTGGATTTGTTGTGATGTTCGTGATTTATGCATTTAAACTGACAAGAGCTTTTGTTCTTAAGTGATTATTTTAACTGGATGTAGAAAAAACTCACAGTATGGAAGGTTCACATACTTTAAAAAGGGGGGTTTGTTTCTTTACTATGGACACTCAATATCTTACCTATTGAAGATAGCTTTTTAAAATGGTGATATTATCGTGTCATTGTTTTCAAATGGTTGTGTTGGTTGTCTACGTAAAAACCCATCAGTGTGTTTAAGTTTTTGTTTGTTTTTTTTTTTCACTTTGGAAACTGTTTTAAAAATGCAATTTGGGAGCTCCTATAATGCAAGTTTTTTTTTGCAAGGCTGAAAAAATAAAAAAAATAATAATAAAACGTGTGTATTTACAAATGCTGTGCCCATAAGGATTGGGCTCTAAACTCTGTTTCTCTAAACTGGAGTTGATCAGACCTATCTACAACAGGTAAGATAGTAACTGTTCCAAGGTGTCGCACAGAAACCCCTCTTCAAATGATGTGAATTATTTTTGAATAGAAGCAAACATTTTGTTTGAAACATAATTTTCTATAATGTAGTACGCATTTTTTCTTACATTGCACATCTCTGTAAATTTAGTTTATTTATTTTTTGTTCATTAGAAGGTAAGATTGAACAGGAGGAGAGAGTAGAACAAAAAAAAGCAGTAGAGATGAACCTAGTAGTTGAGCCATAAACGTGTGTGGATGTGTTTTGTAGTAAAGGAATTCCTAATTAATCTCTGGCATTTCCAAACTCTTGCTTCAATACATGGTTCTGAGGGCAAGCTGACCTCTCACCAGTGTCTCTGTCAGATAGGAGAACCAGTGTAGCTACTCTGTTTATAGTAAGAAAATTCCCAAAGTCTCTAGCATCTCAAGTTTGCCAAAAAGTCCCAGTGGGGTGGTCTCACTTTTCAAAGAAATGAATATGTCCTCCCTTCTCTGTGTCTCTCCTTCCCATTCCGTTTGTCTCTCCAAGGGATAGATTGGTGCACAGCCAAACCAGAGCTCCCATGTAAAAGGTCACTTGGACTCGATGCGCACCATGTTGAACTCTATTGAATTTTGCTCGTGGAGCTCCCCGCAGTATATTTAGAAAATGTATTCTTGTCTGGATTTGCACAATTAAGCCGTGTTGTTTATCTGCACTGAGCATACTCAGGTCCTCTTGTGAATCCAAAACAGTCGATTAAATTTTTGTTGAAGTGTGTTTTTCTGATTTGTTCAAAAAAAAAGTGTTAGCGGCGATGTCAGCTGTCTTTGTTCCCCGACTAACTTCAAACACTCCTCAAAATGTGTGTGAACCGATAGCCCGAGTGTTTGCACGTAATAGATACGCTGCAGTGAGACAGTATTTAAAGATTGCGTCTCGGTGCTTTTGTGCACCTGCACGGCGCACATGCACGCACATGTAAATTTACACTCTGTACAAAAATGGCTGCCATCCAAGTCAAATGTCCCTCTGAGGCCTTGGTCTCATAAAGAGGCTGGAGGATGATGGGTGGGAGGGAGGAAGAGAGGGGTAAGAAGAGAGATGAGGGAGAAAAACAGTTTAACAAGGCTTCGTGGCATATCCTGGACAGGCTGAAGCTGTTAGTTGTTGCTGTGTAGGTCTGGTAAGTGTGGCTGTTCTGGGGTTCGGACCGGATGGTTTACGTCCTGTTTTTGGCTCTAGACTCGCATGGAGAGCTGCCAGATTAACTGTTGCCTGAGCTTGGAGAGTCAGCCATTATGACAGCAATTACACACTGGTATACATAAAAAACACATGGAAACTAGGACAGGCAAACATGAAAAAAATACACACAAATTACAAAAAGCAAAAATCACCGGAACACATAACCAACCTAGAATACAAAACAATTACACACAAAGAAAAACAGGGATGAGCTCACTTTGTGGTTACGATAGACACAAGGGATAGTAGGTGACAGACATAATCACAGATGCTTGTTCGCCAGGCTTCCAGTCACCTAGCAGCTTGTCTCTTTAGTTTGGTGAGCCAATCGCCAAAGCCATAGAATCACAGCCGACAGGACAGACAGTGCAGCCATAGTCTGTACAAGTGTGTGTGCGGTTGGCTGACTGGCTGACTAATGTCTCTGGGAGGTGTTTTGTGGTCGTTTAGGAGCAGAGGGCAGGTTCTCTCCCAAGCTTCAAACTACTGGGCAGAACCGCACAGCAAGGATATGCCTCTGATTGATTACACATCACTGACAAACAATAAAACAAAAGTGGAAGAAATACAAACCCACTCTCTGTCTCTGTCTGTGTTGGTGTGTGTGTGTGTGTGTGTGTGTGTGTGTGTGTGTGTGTG